TTTACTGCATCCCCTGGGCATTGCATAGGGAACATTCCCCCGAGTGCATGTGGCGGCGTATATACCGACACTTCACTGGTGAATATGATTCCTCACTATCACTACTCGAATGATCGTCAAGAGCAATAAAATCACAATCCACATCACTATCGTCATCATTACTGAAGTCTAAGGCCTGGCCACGTGAAAATATTAGTTTTCTCTTGCGACGAGGTACAACTGAACATGACTGAGACGTGCCCACACCAGAGGTAGAAGGTTGAGGATTGTCAGGATTTTCTGCACTATTTTCAATATCCTGGCCATTCCTTTTGGTCACTAATTGTTCAAAGCCATAGAATTCGTCTTCATTTCCACTTCCATTAGAGTCAGAACTTTCAGATAGGAAGAGGAGAGTCCCAATTCGCCTTGGAGTGAGAGCTGCCTTGCGACAAGGCATGGTGAACAAAGGTAACTGAGGCAGTGTTCCCACAATGCCATGCAGGTGCCTAGAATTTTTGTTTACGGTGCACACACACCACGCAGACCGGTTCTCTCAGATGTAGGCCTACCAGCCTTCTCGCGCTAAATTTGACGCCTCTAGAATTTTTGCGTACATCTAAGGTTTGGACCCCTCAATGTATAGTCACAGATCTACGGCATGGACCCTTAAAGGGGTAATAAACAAGCCACATCAGCTTCCGTGATTTGTTCTTTCTTTGCCAGGATAGAAGTGATTGCTGATTTGTTTTTGCCATACATCCTGGCAAGTTCCAGCACCTGAACACCCCACTCATATTTTTCTATTACTTCCTTCTTAAATTCCATCGTGTTTCTCACTTTCTTTACCAAAGGAACTTTACTAGGAACTTTCTTGGAGCCCATGGTGCCTTATTTCACTAACACTTAATAAAAAAAAACTACCAAAAACAATGGATTTTAAGGAAATGTTTGGATGAATACACAGAGTATATGCTCACTTGCCGACAGACAAAGGGAGACTGACTCACTTACGGGCTGACGCATCTAATACAGCTGATATACGAGGCAACGGCCGAAATGTGGTGTAAAATTTCAGCCGAAAAACTGCCTAAATACGAATCAGCTGATAAAAGCAGTGGCCAGAAAACGAGGTTCCACTGTATATGCTTGTCTATGCATGTGTAGTGTGACCTAAGTGTAACTAGAAGTAGCAAAATGCACCTGAACTCATGCTTGTTTATAAGACAGAAAACAGACACCAGCAATCCTACCATCATGTAAAGAAATTACAGGCTTCTGTTTGACACTCACTTGGCAGGACGGTAGTACCTACCTGGGGGTTGCTGTCTACCAACCTACTACCTAGGATTATAATATATAAATAATGTAAGTAAAATTTAAATTGATGACACTCTGCTTTTGAGAGATTCTGAATAGAAGTTGCAGAGGTTGGTTGATGAGTTTGGTAGGGCATGTAAAAGAAGGAAATAAAAAGTGAATATAGGAAAGAGTAAGGTGATGAGGATAACAAAAAAATTAGGTAACGGAAGATTTGATATCAGATTGGAGGGAGAGAGTATGGAGGAGGTGAATATATTCAGATATTTGGAAGCGGACATGTCAGCAGATGGGTCTATGAAAGATGAGGTGAATCATAGAATTGATGAAGGGAAAAAGGTGAGTGGTGCACTGAGGAGTCTGTGGAGACGAAGAACTTTATCCATGAAAGCAAAGGGGGGAATGTATGAGAATATAGTTATACCAATGGTCTTGTGTGGGTGTGAGGCATGGGTGGTGAATGTTGCAACAAGGAGAAGGCTGGAGAAAGTGGAGATGTCATGTCTGAGGGCAATGTGTTGTGTGAATATAATGCAGAGAATCCATAGTTTGGAGATGTGCAGGATTACCAAAACTATTATCCAGAGGGCTGAGGAGGGATTATTGAGATGGTTTGGACATATAGAGAGGATGGAATGAAATAGAATGACTTGGAGAGTGTGTAAATCTGTAGTGGAGGGAAGGTGGGGTAGGGGTCAGCTTAGGAAAGGTTGGAGGGATTGGGTAGAGGAGGTTATGTGTGAGAGGGGCTTCGATTTCCAGCAAGCATGCTTGAGCGTGTTAGATAGGAGCAAATGGGGACAAATGGTTTTTAGGACTTGACATGCTGTTGGAGTGTAAGCAAGGTAACGTTTGTGAAGAGGTTCAGGGAAACCGGCAGGCTGGACTCGATTCCTGGAGATGGGAAGTACAGTGCTGGCACTCGGAAGGAGGGGTGTTAATGTTTAAGTTTTAAAACTAGTGTAAGCATGCCTGTAGCAAGACAGTGATGGAGTGAATGATGATAGAAGTTTTTCTTTTTTGGGCCACCCTGCCTTGGTGGGAAACGCCCGAAGTCACTTAGCGATGTACTCGTTTAGAAATGTTATAAATGGTACATAGGTGACATTAAAACAATATCAAGGATGGTTGACACAAACCCACTACCATTATAGTATGTTCCTTACTTAGCGACGCATTCATTTACTGACGTGGTCTTGGGAATGGAACTCCGTCGTTAAGTGAGGAGAGGCTGTAATAAAAAAAATAAAAATTTAAATTCAAAATCTTAGAGAAGTAATAACTTGCCATAGCACTTCTCAAATCTGTTCAGTCATTCATGAGTGTACACATTTTAGATATGAATATTGTTTTGTCTATCAGAATTATCTCAGGAATACCTCCTATTCTCCACTGGAAAATCTATATGTATAAAACATGAATGTCTTTGCTTGCAGTCCCACATAAATTGTATCTAGAAACAGTGTCTATAAAAGAGGTGTTTGCTTTGTGTCTTTAAATCATACACTGTTGTACCAACTTCACACACTTTCATAAGACAAGTTATACTTACAGTATCTACTTTATCTAATTGTGACTTTCTCTTATGCTTCACTAATGCTTGACAAACTACACTAATGCTTAACTATATTTGGTACTACCACTGACACCTGTATTGCTCTCGAAGCTAATAGCTCATTTCTTTGCCTTGACACATGCATCACTCTTACCACTGTTACCACAGAAACTACAAGTGTTTATTTACTATCCTTAAAAGACATATCCAGACATATCCATTGTAATAATTATATAATAAATATCAGCATTATGTGTATCACTTATAAATAAATAGTCAGCAAGGTATGAGTGGTTGAGGCAGCGTGGGGCAATCGTGGTTGACCAGAGCATAAGTGGCTACAAAACAACTACCCCTCAAGGAAGGTTCCTTGATGTTGGTGAGGGGCTCTTGATTTAGGGAATTGGATCTGTGCTCCAGTTCCCCGAATTAAGCCTGAATGCCTTCCACATCCCCCCCCCCAGGCGCTGTATAATCCTCCGGGTTTAGCGCTTCCCCCTTGATTATAATAATAATAATACAAAACAACTAGCAGCACACACTTCACATCACTTCACTTTCAGCCAGATGCTCACTTGAGTGGGCAGATGATCTGCTCCTTAACCAAGCCATTTAGAACAAATGTTATATGGAATTTTAAACCCTAAGAACCAAATCCAAATATGATGACTTAAGAAATATTAGCATACAAAATAACACTGTGCCAGTGTATTAAAATTGAAGCAGAAGTTTTCTTACTCGTGAAAGCCAAGGCAGATTCTCGCAAGCTGTACCTAATGGTTTGAATTTTGGTTGGGTGTCAATCTTTAACCCTTAAACTGTCCAAACATAGATCTACGTTTTTTCAACATTTGAAAGTATGTAAAAAAACGTAGATCTACTTTTGGAGCACTACGCATGTGAACGTAGATCTATGTTTGGACAGTTTAAGGGTTAAGTATACACTAAAATCACAAGTTGAACTTCCTTCAACTATTTCCTGATCAGCCAGGCTACGGTGTTTGCATATGGCTGTATGCAATAAGCAACAACACCTTTACTATTAACTAGAAAGCCTGGTCCAAGACCAGGCTGCAGGGGTGATAATCCCTGAGTTATTAGTAGGGACAAAGCACGTTATTGCTAACCCATACTTTGTGATAAATTTGTATGAAACTGAGAGGCAGTTACAGTACAGTACAGTTGTATAGTACTACTGTATATTTATTTTTTTCTCTGGGTTTTGCCATAGGTCATACCCCAACAAGAATGTCACTTGTACTAATGCTGCTATAGAGCCTGTTAATTTGGTTAGCCCTTTGGGTTTAGTGCTTAATGTGATGATGATATTATTATTAATTTGGTGGAAATTTATACAGAAGATTTTGCATAGATCAAAATCAATGCATGTGGGTTGGTTGCACTGAACCTTTCTAAATACTGTACTTCATAAATCTTCTTTCAAGAAACCAGCAGTATCCCACCGAGGAAGGGTAACCCAGAAAGAAAAATGAAAGTTTCTCTTTTGAAATTTAGTAATGTATACACGAGAAAGGGTTACTAGCCTCTTGCTCCTGGCATTTTAGTTGCCTCTTACAACACTCATGGCTTACGGAGGAAGAATTCTTTTTCACTTCCCCATGGAGTATTTCATGAATATCCTTTTTTGTTTTCATTATTGTTTAACCATTACATATTAAGAACAACTCTAATTTGATTAACAAAATAGAAAGCACACATTTGTTGACATAGGATTTTCACAAATCCTTCAGTAGATTATAAAATGTTTTTTTTCACAGGTCATCTCGGTTCACTTTAGCTTGGTAAACTGGACTAAGCCAATGCAGCATTGGCCTAGGTGCCTGCTAGGGTGAAAAGAATACACAGAAGTTGTGTGTGTTGCTTATCCCACTCATTTCCAGTAGTTACTTTAAGAATGACCTCACATCAGTGATATGAATGATTAGTTAAGATATCTGAAGGAAAGTGCATTCAGTCCTCACAAAGTATGTCAAGGCAATTACATATTATAATAATATTGTTAGCTCCAGGGAAAATGGTAGTTTTTTCTCAACATCTGTCTGCCAGGAATACAAAGAGTACAGAGTAATTCCATAAAGGCACTATTCAAGAGTTGTTTACTGTTTTAACCAGCCATTGTTTTCAGGTGGTGTGTTGTTCTCCTTGGAAGAGGGAGCCAGCTTCTGGAACCAGGGACTAACTTGGAGGGTATTCTTTTGTGCCATGATGTCTACTTTTACCTTAAATTTAGTTCTTTCAACCTACAATGGAGTTCCAGGCAAGTTCTGTTAATTTTGGTCCTCTTTGTTTGTTTCCTGAATTTTTTTTTTTTTTTTTTTCAACAAGTTGGCCGTCTCCCACCGAGGCAGGGTGACCCAAAAAAGAAAGAAAACCCCCAAAAAAGAAAATACTTTATCATTTTCAATCTTCCCACACTCAACATTATCACTTTTTTTGAGAGGTGCTCAGAATCAACAGTTTAAAAGATATACTATAAGATACAAAACATATCCTCCAAATGCCAATCTTAAAATTAAAAAAAACTCGGGGGCCAATAGAATTTGAAATGAGACATATGTAAATTTTAAAATTTTCAAAAGGTGAAGAGTAAAAAATACAGTAACCCTTAAACCCCTTTGACTGTGAAACCCCATTTCTGGAAAAAAAAAATCATTTTTTTCTTATGAAATGATAGGAATCTTTCCCCGATGGCAATGACACCAAAAGTACGAAATTTGGCAAAAATAGGGAAATTAGCTCCCGCGAAGTTTTCAGTCTTGGGGACATTCGCATCGGCGATTTCGCCGACTTTTAGCCCCGTTTTGGCCAATTCCCTTGTTCAGTTTACCAAACTCATAGTTTTTTTTAGAATCATTTTTTTATAGTTGAGTCAAGAAATGCCCATTTTCCGATTTAAACTACCCAATAAAGTGGTCAGAAATTGTCAATTTGGCCAATTTCACGCAAATTAAAAAAGATGCCAAATTTTAAAATAGGGGCCCGAAAAAACAATGTGTATTCTTGGATTAAAATAAATATCCTTGTTCATTAGTCCGTTTAGGTCCCTCTTTTATTCTATTACTTTTATTTAGATTTTTTTTTCTCAAAAAATAAAAATTTACGTTATGCAGTACTGCATATTGTAAAAATGGGTAAAAAAATACAGGATAGTGAAGAATTTAGATCCCCCCGTTGATGTGATTGAAAGGTGGGGTGATTTGCTTACTCTTGAACATTGGGAAAAATCGAACATTTTGAAAAAATAAAAAAAGGACAATCGTGATGGAAGATACACAAATTTCCGCAATTTTAAAAAGACAGAAGCTTACGACGATGTTTCGGTCCGACTTGGACCATTGACAAAGTCACACTAACAGAGGAGGAGCAGGACGGCTATATATAGGCAGGAAGAGGTGGAGGTAGTAGTAGTGGTAGTAGTAGTAGTAGTAGTAGTAGTAGTACAAGAATTGTATATAATACCGACAGGATGAAATGACACATGCACAACACCCGGCATCTCCACCGTAGACGCTTCGCCATCCAGCCAGCCACTGGATGGCGAACGTCCACAACAAAGACAACCAGACGCCGCACATGTGTCTAATTTCATCAGTAGATGTAGTAGAAGAAGAAGAGGTAGTAGTAGTGGTAGTGGTAGAAGTGGGAAATAAGGAAGACGAGCCAGTCAAATACAAAGGAAGGGGAGCACTGCAAGAGAGCTAGAAACCCACAGAGGGAGAGCAAGCGCACCGAGGTGCGTGAAAGGGGAAGTGGTGAAATAAAATAAAGAAGGAACAGAAACACGAGACAGGAGAGAGAAAGACAACCCAGAGGAGAAAAGGAGAGAGGAAAGGGGAAGAGGAAGAAGAAAAAGAAGAAGAAGAAAAAATGAGGATTCAGGTTAAGTCACGGGTGTTCTGAAGTTTGGAGCATTTTACAATGTAGTGGGAGAGGAAGGCATCTACAGAGACGAAGCCAGGGCTAAGGTTCATACAAGGAAAGTTGTGTATAAGAGAGGATTCAACTAAACGGCGACTGTCCGAGTTGGAAGTAGGGAAGACAGTTTTAGCAGAAGACCAGTCAATAGGATGGCTATGATCTCTGACGTGACAGAAAAGAGCATTGTTAGTGTCGGCAAGCCTAACACTATTTTTGTGCTCCCTAAGTCTGTCAGAAAGAGATCGACCAGTTTCTCCAAAGTATTGAAGAGGACAGGAGGAGCAAGAAATAGAGTAGACACCAGGAACATCTGTAGAGGGGAGAGGTATGAACGAGATTAGTGCGAAGAGTGTTAGTCTGGCGGAAGGTAAGCTTGATGTCTAAGGGACGGAGAGAATTGTTGAGATTAGAAAGACCGGAAATGTAGGGAAGGCAGAGGATAGAAGAGTTCCCATGAGTAGAGAGTTTGGGAGAGAAGAAATTGCGTTTAGCACGTGAGAGGGCAGAGTCTATGAAATGGGAAGGGTAGCCAAGACGGGAGAACGAATTATAAAGAGTGGAAATTTCTGCTGGAAGGAACTGAGGATCACAGATGCGGAGGGCACGGAGAAAGAGGGAGATAAGAACACTTTTCTTGACAGGGAAGCATGATAGGAAAAGTAGTGAATGTACATGCCACTGTGCATAGGTTTACGGTAAACGGAAAGGAAAAGCCTGTATCTGAGCGGTGGACATGGACATCAAGGAAAGGAAGTAAGGAATTAGATTCCCATTCAGCTTTAAACTTAATGGAAGGGGCAAGATTGTTAAGAGCTTCAAGAAAAGGTTGGAAGAGACTGGAGTCATGAGGCCACAGAGCAAAGATGTCATCCACATAGCGGAGCCAGAGTGAAGGTTGCACATCGAGGGTAGGAAGAAGAACAGTCTCGAAGTATTCCATGTAAAGATTAGCAAGGACAGGAGAGAGAGGAGAGCCCATAGCGACACCGAAGGTTTGGGAATAATATTTCCCTTGGAAGGAAAAGGAGTTAGAGTCCACACAGAGGCGGATCAGATCAAGAAAGACATCAGTGGGGATAGGGAGATGAAGAAACCCTTCATGGGCCTTCTCTCTAAGGAAATCAAGGACATCATCAAGAGGGACATTGGTGAAGAGGGACTCAACGTCAAGACTAAGCATCTTACAGGTTGGGAGAGAGCGAACCCGTTCAATGAAGTCTTGGGAGTGACGGAGGTGGGCAGGAGAAAAAGTACCAAGAAAGGGAGTGAGGGTTTTGGCCAGCCAAGAAGCAAGAGAATAAGAGACAGGACCTCTAGAGGATATGATAGGACGAAGAGGAATATCAGGTTTATGAGTTTTGGGAAGGCCATAGACATCAAGCTTACCTTCCGCCAGACTAACACTCTTCGCACTAATCTCGTTCATACCTCTCCTCCCTCTACAGATGTTCCTGGTGTCTACTCTATTTCTTGCTCCTCCTGTCCTCTTCAATACTTTGGAGAAACTGGTCGATCTCTTTCTGACAGACTTAGGGAGCACAAAAATAGTGTTAGGCTTGCCGACACTAACAATGCTCTTTTCTGTCACGTCAGAGATCATAGCCATCCTATTGACTGGTCTTCTGCTAAAACTGTCTTCCCTACTTCCAACTCGGACAGTCGCCGTTTAGTTGAATCCTCTCTTATACACAACTTTCCTTGTATGAACCTTAGCCCTGGCTTCGTCTCTGTAGATGCCTTCCTCTCCCACTACATTGTAAAATGCTCCAAACTTCAGAACACCCGTGACTTAACCTGAATCCTCATTTTTTCTTCTTCTTTTTCTTCTTCCTCTTCCCCCTTTCCTCTCTCCTTTTCTCCTCTGGGTTGTCTTTCTCTCTCCTGTCTCGTGTTTCTGTTCCTTCTTTATTTTATTTCACCACTTCCCCTTTCACGCACCTCGGTGCGCTTGCTCTCCCTCTGTGGGTTTCTAGCTCTCTTGCAGTGCTCCCCTTCCTTTGTATTTGACTGGCTCGTCTTCCTTATTTCCCACTTCTACCACTACCACTACTACTACCTCTTCTTCTTCTACTACATCTACTGATGAAATTAGACACATGTGCGGCGTCTGGTTGTCTTTGTTGTGGACGTTTCGCCATCCAGTGGCTGGCTGGATGGCGAAGCGTCTACGGTGGAGATGCCCGGGTGTTGTGCATGTGTCATTTCATCCTGTCGGTATTATATACAATTCTTGTACTACTACTACTACTACTACTACTACCACTACTACTACCTCCACCTCTTCCTGCCTATATATAGCCGTCCTGCTCCTCCTCTGTTAGTGTGACTTTGTCAATGGTCCAAGTCGGACCGAAACGTCGTCGTAAGCTTCTGTCTTTTATGTGCGGGTTATTTGTGTATCGAACATTTCTGCTAATTTGAGCTCAATTTCAACGTCATTTTCATTGTGAAACTAATCAAAATCATCTCTATTTCTGTAATATGTTTTCCATTTTATCATGTGAGACCATGAAAATGAGAATACAATAATAAATGCTATACGAAAATACACCTCAAAGTCGGCGTTTTAATCCAAAAAAATGATCAGTTTTTTTTCTCATTATGCACTGTGTGCTGCAGGATTTTTTATGTGGTGCACACTGACCACACAGACCCATTTTTTCACATGTGGGCCTACTTGCTTTCTCCTGCTTGATTTGAAGCTGCTAGAATTTATGCATATTAATACGTACGAAACACTGGCTCATAAGACATATATATACGACCAAACAGTCAAAGGGTTAAACTGTCCCAACGTAGATCTATATTTGCACGCATAGCACTCCAAATGTAGATCTGCATTTGATTTTACATTGTTTCTTATGTAAACAAATGTAGATCTACGTTTGGAGCGTTACACATGCAAACATAGATCTACGTTTGGACAGTTTAACCCTTTTGAGGTTTCTGACGTACTAGTAGGTCTTATATGCCAGGGTTATTGACATAATAGTACGCATAAATTCTAGCGTCCTCAAATCAAGCAGGAAAAGGTTGGTAGTCCTAGGTGTGAGAGAATGGGTCTCCATGGTCAGTGTGTGCGATACAAAGAAAATCAGGGACCCAGTGGTGCATTGTGGGGAAAGCCATTTTATTACACCTTGTTCATCATGTCTAGTGCTAAGAAACTTCTCACTCTTTGGCTAAATGGGGCTCTTTTGTTCCCAAGTGACAGTTCAAACATAGATGGAAATGTCAATGATGATGAATTTCTTGGTTTTGAGGAGTTTCTGACCAAAAGCAATGCCCAGGAAACCTCAAGGAAGGAAGGAAGGACAGAAGGAAGATATGAAGAAAGGG